GCCGGACATTACAAGCTAATATAGAGCCTCCGCCCTAGGTTTGTACAACTAAAACCCGACACTTTTGAACATTGGTTTTTGGACCATAAAAATACAAATATGAGACGAAAGTCTACTAGGGACCGATAGATCTACTAAAATCGAATCTAACGATATAAATAACTCGAAGATTGGTTTGGTAAGTTACCTTCAATGTTTGAAAAACCGAGAAACTCCACTCCTTGTTTCCAACTCCAATTTCTCTCTCTATACATGATGGTTTTTTTTATTGGGAAAAGTCTAAAAAAAACTCAATGGACTTTAGTGTTTGAAATTATTAAGTCCTTGGACAATTTTTAGGAACAAATAAGTTCTTAGACATTCTAAAACCTGTTAAATAACTCCTTGAACTTTCTAAAACTTGTTAGATACATTCTTATGACCTATAAAATCAATTAATGTGGTAAAATATGGAAAAAGACTGAAAAAAAGCCAATGGACTTTCAAAAAAATAAAAATATATTTATTTTTAATAAAAATAAATTTAATCAGTAATTGTTTTTAAATCTTTTTTTAATTTGAAAAATCACATGCGAAATATATTTTATTTTTAATTAAAATAAATTTGATTAGTAAGCCTAAAAATTATTTTTTTTAGTTTGAAAAATCATTAAGAGAATATATTTTATTTTTTATTAAAAAGTATTATCAAAAATCTAATTATTTTTGTATATGTAATTATTTTTTGATATATTTGTTTCATTTTATAGATTTAAATACTCTTTTGGTTTAAAAAACGTTTAGGAACTTGATCGCTCAAAATATAAATGTCCATTAAATTTTTTTTCTGATTTTTTTCATTAATTTACACCACATTGACCAGTTGTATAGGTCATAAGAATGTATCTAACATGTTTTGGAATGTCCAATAACTTATTTCTTCCAAAATATTGTCCAAAAACTTAATCATTACAAACACTAAAGTCCATTAAATTTTTTAGATTTTTCCCTTTTTTTTATTCGTAATGGATGAAATGTTCCGAATTCTTTTCTCTACATTTATATCATTTTGTATTATTTAGTTGACGAAAAGAGCCAATAGCGAGTTAGAATGGTACGGTTGCTATCTAAAGATCTGATTTTTAAGACATGTTCTTTAGGCAGGATAGGTCCCTTAACTATAAAGTTATGACCTTTTACCCCCTCCTAAACTTTCAGACTTTTACATTCGACCCCTTCTTTCAATACTTTGGCCAACTTTATATTTTTACCCCTCCTAACATAATATTTTACATTTTCGGTCCAAGGTAAATAAAACGAGCATACCGTTGGAAAAATCTATAACTTTTTCATAAAACATTATGTATTTTATAATTAAGTTAATATGTTATATTGCCACTTTATCTTCATCAGTGAAGTGTTATTTAGTTAACGTCTAGCTGAAAATGGGCAGAGTAAGTTAATATGTTATATTGCCACTTTATCTTAATATATGAGCTACTACGAGCATCTCTAACAGTTGTGTTATATTTTCTCTCTAATATTTTAAATTTAGAGATTTTTTTTTTTCGTTTTCTCTTACACTTTTCTCTATTGTAGAAGAGAGTTTAGCATAGTTGTTGAAACAAATTTTTCTTAAATATTGAAAAAATATAAAATAACATAATAAGCTAATATAAGATGACGTGATATCTGGATGAAAAGAGAGTTTTATGTAATATAAATATTCGAAAAAAAGGTACCATGATAATTCTATGACGATGTGTAATTTTTTTGTTAGATAAAGACGAATAATATAATATCAACTGTACCTAGATATGTTTTGCAATCAATTTATTGTTGTACATCAACATCGTATACAAAATCGTTCTTGTTGAATAATATATTTATGTTGAACAAGTGATTGTTAATTCAATGTAAACATATATATATATATATATATATATATATGTGTGTGTGTGTGTGTGTGTGTGTGTGTGTGTTTATCTTTAGCGGTGGGTCTAAACTAAAGTATCAGTATTATAAAGTAAAGGTGATTTTAAATGAACTGTTTTTACGTTTGATTTGAATCTTTTTCATATTTTTTATACATCAATATTAAGTTTTTCAACTTTTTGCGTAGCAACTCCCTGTAATCGATTTGTTAGAACATCCACAATGATCATATCTGTTAAAAAAAATCGTTTTGAAGACGGTCAGTTTTCCACCGAACGTTTTTTTTTCCCAAAAACTTATTATACAAGCCTCCTCCAAAAAGATAATGCTTTGTAAATATAACTGTTATTTTATAAACGTAAATAATTTATCCTCATTTACCCGAAATAAGCCCCCCTCTTATGTGTCTAACCGATGGTGGACTTGATATGGTATTGAGTTTTTTTCCCTTCAATACCATATACCAACCAATTATAATTGATACTCAAAATTTTATACCATGTATCTACTAACTATAGTTGTACCAATTTAAATGATACCCATTTTTTTTAGGTTGGTACTGATTTTGTACTAAATTCAAGTTATATAGATGAAAACTTGTCATTTTGTTCAAATTTTGAGTTTCTTGGTAACACACATGATGTTTAAGATTTCTAATTGCAACGAATAAAATTTGCAAGCATTTGAATGCTCAAACAAACTAGTTAAAATTACAATCTTTAATATTCAATAGACAAAAAATATAAAAATTATTAAATAAGTCAGTATCATGGTACTAACATGATATGCAACTTTCAGTACCGTGTACCAACCCAGTTAGCATAGTTGGTATTGTACTAACAACCGATTTTAATTAGTACAAATTAAATTGGTAAAGTTGGCACACATATTGATTCGGTTGATTTTGATACAAAATTGTTACTCCTATGTTCAATGATCGATATCCGTGCCATTTTAATCAACTTGACAATAGTCTTTAGAGAAATTAATTAAAATAGTCATTTTGATCGCATAATTTCACCTCTCAGTCATTTCTCTCCAAGAATTACACAAATGACACTACCTCAGTAATTTTTGACAAAATAAATATTTTTTTTACCCACGCCTGCAAATTTCTTTTACATAATGATTAAGAGGTTCTTATGATATAGTATAAAATCAAATATAATTGTTTGGTAGTTGTTTACGATGAAATTAGGGTGCTGAATGGTTAAAGGAGACCCATGATACAAAATCATTTAGAGGGTTTTGGAACCATTAAGAGGCAAACTTTTTTTTTTGTCAAACAAGATTTACCTCTTAACGATTCAGATGTTGGCTCTTAATGAAACTATTAAGAGGTAAACAAACAACCTCTTAATATTGTATTATGTTTAAGGTGTTGAACGGTCTACCCCCAATCATCTTAATTAATAGAGTATTATATAATGAGATTTTAAGTTTATATATGAAAGGCAAAGTTCAGAAAAACTTAACGAATTTTTTCATTTTTATGGATTAAATTTCTGAACAGTAAATAAGTTATTGAACTTTCTGATTTTAGATATTTTAAGTCCATGAACATTCTTTTTGAATAAATAAACAATCCAGTTTTTAAAAATTGGTTGCGTATATCCTTTTAATCCAAAAAAGTTACCTCTAAGCTGAAAAAGTTTTAAATTAAAAAAACTAAATCAGATTTATCGTTCCCAAACCCTACGTTATTCAAACTCCTTGCACCTAGTGATAATAGCTGCTCCTCACCACCCCTTGTCACACTATCATCGAACCTTCTTCCCATGCCTAGACGATGATAAAGAGCAGAAGAGTGACGAGATGGGGCGATGACGGGGAATGATGGGTTTGGTTACGAGAGATTTGAATGATATGGTATTTGGGAACTGTAAAACTAATATATGTTTTTTTTTTTACTTTAAAACATTCATAATCGGTTACAAGTAGTTTTTTAGGTTAAAATGATGTAGGTAACCAATTTCTAAAAGTTTGATGGTTTATTTATTCAAACAAAAAATGTCCAACGACTTGATCATTCAAAATGAGAAAATTTAATGACTTGATCATTCAAAACCAAAAAGTTTGTTGAATTTTTTAGAACTTTTCTCTATATAAAACCAACAACTGCAGGTCTTATAAAAATGCATAATAATAAACTGTTAAAACGAAGTTGAACAACTGAATAGGCCACAAGAAAATCGTTTGTTCCAGATACATAAGCAAATCCATTTTCTTCCGGTTCGCTTATCCCATAAACTACAACACACTTCTAGCTTATATCATGACTTTTGCTCGCTTATCCCTAGCTCGATGCACTCAACTCACTTCACCTACGTAACATGCCGACAACATTTCATTCAGCTCAGTTTCATGATGTAAACGTACATAGAGTCGACGACTGAACGGACATTTGTATGTATATACATACACACACGTATATACATACACATCCTTACATTTCACAAATCAACATAACTGCACAAGAAGTGAGTCTTGAATAGGAGACATATCGCAAACGTAATGGATGGTATTATTAAAACGAACAACCATACCTCATGTTAAATGCACCACATGGTGGGTTTCAGAAGATAAGTTAAACTCAATAATTTAAATTGACTTTTCAAAATTCGATGAATTTATTCTCATTTAAAGATTTGAAAATACATTACAAAAATACAGAGTATCAACAACGGAAATTTCCTTTGCAAATACGTCGCTAAAAAGGTCATCCGTCGGTCAAATACTCGTAGGTAATGCTATCAGCGAGGGATCAACGATGGATTTACGAGGGATATTTTCAGTGACGGATCCGTGAGGGAATGTATTTCTTAAATTCAAGATTGGGAAAAGTAGAAATATTCATGTAATCTAAGAAGAAACCATAGGTTCATAAACACGTACGTTTCTTACAAAGCTGCAACACAATAATTTGTGTTGGATAGGATAAGAATGGTTTCAAAATGTCAAAGGCAATTAATGAATTAAAGCTGATCCCAGCGATCCTCACCAGCCAACCAATTTGCAATAAAATCTCAGCTCTGTGAATCTTTCTATAAATAGAGAAACGTTAACACACTGGTTTCTTCATCCTTTCCTTTTTCAGAAACAATTCAATATGGCTTCAAAGACATTCCTTCTTCTTGCCCTAGCTTTTGCTGTTGTTCTTCTCGTTAGCTCCCAGATCGCTGCTGCTAAGGACTTGGATGAAAGTGAGTAAATTTCATCTCTTTCTGAAATCTTCATTTTTACGTAACCTTTTCATCTTCAGTTTCATGAACTATTGGATCTTGGAATACATAATTATGGATGAATGTTATAATATATACGTTTATGGAATGATGCAGGCGAGGTAGAAGATGCCAAGTATGGTCGTGATGACCGTGGGTACTACAATGGGGGTGGTCGTGGAGGTTACAACGGAGGTGGACGTGGAGGGTATAACAACGGTGGCGGTCGTGGAGGATACAACAACGGAGGTGGCCGTGGAGGGTACAACCATGGTGGTGGGCGTGGAAGAGGATATTGCAGGTATGGTTGCTGCGGTGGCGGACGTTACTACAATGGAGGGTGCAGGTGTTGCAGCACTTTAGCAGAGGCAACTGCATACAAACAAGCTCATGAGGCCCAGACTCACAACTGATCGATCTTGGCATCGTAATCGAACCATCTTGTTACTTATACGTGCTGCTTCAATATATATATGCAACCAAGCCATTCGTGTTTGTATGCTATATAAGTGTTAGAAGAAAAGAAACCAGTGGGATATGTGTGCATGCTCGCTTTCTATTTTGGTTTAATTATCTTTGTACAATAAAAGAAAACCTTTGCCTCCTATCATCAACATGTGCGAGAGGTTCTTCACCTAAATGCTTACCCATTAAGCTCAGTCAATACTATGATTTATTTTATCGGGTAAGATCGTAGTACATCAAAGTGGTATAGTATTCAACAATTTACCCGATAAGTACTTACCTAGGTAAGAGTCGTCACCCTCACTTAAACGACCCCTGAAAGTGACAAGATCGACAAAAAGTATAAAAGTGTCTCAAAACATGCCAAAAAGGATGTTTTGGGGTCGAAAATCCGGTAGGCCCCACGTGGGGTGAACCCAAGGCATGATCATGTTCTTAGATTAGATTCGACGTATTGTGGATTGAAATGGAGACTCGTATCAAAAGTTATCAAGGCTCCGTCTTCGACGCTTAGACTCGCATTAAGATTATTCATAATCTTTAGTAAGACATCATTAATTAAAGACAACCAATAAATACATATCTAACAAAATTAACAAGCATTACAAAAGAAACACCATAATTAAATATCAAAATCATAGAAAAATACTAAAATTGCTTAAAATTACGACACCAAAAGCCTCGAATGAGTCGCCGGGAATAATCAGTGAGTAGTCAAAAGAAAGTTAAATGCTAAACTCGACATTATTAATAACCATCTAAAAACAGATGAAAAGATATAAAATAAAAATGTTGAATTAAAAAAAAATCCTTCCTTTTGTGTATTTAATTTTGTTTCATTGTTTTTTAACTGATGTTCCTTGCATTTTATATCCCAAGTTACTGCTAGTTTAGCGGGTATATCTTTCATATAAAAAGAAAACTTATGAAATTGAGCTGAATAAGTACATGGACTCTATTCGAGAATGAATAGGTCCGCTCCTACTGTAGACGGATTTATTTATAGTAATTAGTCAACATTAATGTAAACCAATATTTCCCGTGGATGTTAACACCCGCTTTGATGGCGACGACCTCTTCAATGATACGGAAAAGTACTTCATTAATTCATTTATTTTCTAAATCGTCTGTCATCTTTTTAATTATTAATTTTAATGAAGTAAAGATTTTAAATCTGTGGGAGATTAATTACATTCTTGTATATTGCTAAATGCACTCCTATCTAGTATTTTTCATTTTACACACATCAACATTATAACTCATTTTTTACATTTTTAATACATGAATTGATCTTATTTTGACATTAAAGATGGTGCAAATAGCAATCCTCTTTATTTTTCACTCTTAATTATAAATCCACATAATATAATGATTCAAGGATGTTGTTGGGTTGAAATAATTTAACACGACAAAAAGAATATCTCATACTTCATTTAGAGAACTAAAAAAGTATTATATGATCCATAAAAAAACAGAATAAATCACTTACAAGTTTAGCCAAAATAAAAAATAGATATGTTTGATCTTTAAAACGGGCAAAAATTTCAGTAGATAACGCAAATATTGGGTAATGACTTTGTCTTATGTCTATTGATATATGATAAGACGTGTAAAAAGAGAGCTACAAAGGCGACTTTGGTGGGCAGTCATAAATGAAGTAGAACGCATGGCTAAACAATATATCTATACTATATTGTTGGTCCCAAAAGGGTCTACAAGAATACTAAACAGTTTGTAGAAGG